GGTGTGAGCCACCATGCCCAGGCCCTTCTCTACCTATTCTTGAAATCACTTTTCCTAACTTAGAATTACATATTTATTTGATGGCTTTTTATTTTTTATTTGATTTGTTTATTTATTTATTTTAGAGATTGGGTCTTGCTCTGTCACCCAGGGTGGAGTGCAGTGGCGCCGTCATAGCTCATTGCAGCCTTGAACTCCTGGGCTCAAGTGATCCTCTTGCTTTACCCTCCACAGGAGCTGGGACTACAGGGATATGCCACCACGCCAGGCTAGTTGATAACTTTTAAAAATTGTTTATCCCCCAAAGTCTATAAGCTCTATGGGGTGCTTTTAACCACTGTATTCTCTGAGCTTAGCAATGGCTTAGCACATAATAGCATTTATTGGATACTTATTGAGTGATAAATTACCAAGGTATTTTTATCCACTCCAGTCTTCCTCTCAGACTGTTAGCTCCTTGAGGTCAGATTTTAGATCTAGCTCACCTCTGGGTCCTCAGCTCCTGGCACGGGGCTTGGCACTGAGGGATATGAGGAAATGTTTGAACTGAAGGAAATGGGGAAGGGTTGGCCCACCTTCAGCCAGGAGCTGATGGGATCAGGATTACCGAATATCAAGAAACTGACTTGAAGGCTGTGGGCATTGGGCTGTGAGCTGCAGAGGTATTCCAGCATTGCTGACTGGACAAGGAGTGGCTGACTGTTACGGTTGTCTCCTGAAGGATGGGGAGCATTTCACGCCTCCAAGAAGGAGCTCCATGGCTCAGTACAAAGTGATCAAGCTGTTGGGGAAACAGACCTGGGCTTAAATCCTGACTCCACCACTCACGCTGTGTGATTTGGGGCAGGAGACTTCACCTTTCTGAGGCTCAATTTGTTAGTAAAATGAGGATGATAGCAGACCTTACCTCCTCAGACTGTCATAAAGACTTAAAAGTAATGTATTGGTTCAAATAGCACAGAGTAGGCTGGATGCAGTGGCTCACAACTATAATCTTGGCACTTTGGGAGGCTGAGGCGGGTGGATGGCTTTGAACCCAGGAGTTCCGAGACCAGCCTGGGCAACATGGCAAAACCATGTCTCTACTAAAAGTATAAAATTAGCTGGCTGTGGTGGTGCACGCCTGTGGTCCCAGCTATCTGGGAGGCTGAGGTGGGAGGATGGCATGAGCCTGGGAGGCAGAGGTTGCAGTGAGCCGAGATTGTGCCACTGCACTCCAGCCCCAGCCTGGGTGACAGAGCCAGACAGTCTAAAAAAACAAAAAAAAAGGGAAAGGATAGACAGCAATGCTGTGGTGGCTGCTGCTCCTAATGAAGACAAAGAGGAAGATATATTTTAAGTCTCGGAATGCTGGATATTCCTAAACAGAACTTGACTTTGAGTTAGGGCTGCCGGAGAAGCAAAGGGGCTCTTCGGGTCTAGAGGGCAAAGCAGGTGTGTAAACAGAAAATAGGCTTGAGGCTGGGCATGGTGGCTCATGTCTGTAATCCCACCACTTTGGGAGGCCGAGGTGGGTGGATCACATGATCTCAGGAGTTTGAGACCAGTTTGGCCAATGTGGTAAAACCCCATCTCTCCTAAAAATACAAAAATTAGCTTGGCCTAGTGGTGCGCACATGTAATCCCGGCTACTCGGGAGGCTGAGGAGGCATGAGACTTGCTTGAACCCAGGAGGTGGAGGTTGCAGTGATCTGGGATCGTGCCATTGCACTCTAGCCTGGGCAACAGAGTGAGACTCTGTCTCAAAAAAAAAAAAAAAAAAAAAGAAAAAGAGAGAAAAAAGAGCCTGGACTTTAAAAATAAAGCTAAAGCTTAATTTAATTTTTTAAAAAAAGGGAAATAGGCTTGAGTCCAGAAGCCAGGAAAGTGGGCAAGAGTGGCAAGCAGTGTCTAGGGTGGGCCAGAGCTGAAGCTGGGCATGGTTTGAGGGTATCTGAGGCCCACTGGGGGACCAAATGGCCCTGCAGCAGGAGCAGACACACATCTCTTTGTGTATGTGTTTGTCTGCCACCCCTGTCATCCTGTTTTCCTGCTTGTTTGGGTCTCTAAGTTAGCTTTCCCTAACCCCCAGAGGTTGCCCCTGGCCTGGGTGCTGCTGAAGCCCTGTGTGCTTAGATGCAGCAAGGAGACTGGGCAGAGGGAGGTGGGTGTCATTGAGTCTTGGGCCCAAGTTCATCTCTTGGCCCAGCCATGGACTCGGAGTGTGGCCTCAGGCTTGGTCTCTCTGTCTCCTGACAAGCTAGGGGTCTGAGGAGCCTCTCTGAGCTCCCACATGCTATAGCCTTACAGATGAGGGCAGTGCCTATGGGAAAAGAACCCTTGGGTCCCCTCACAGAGCAAGGATGATGCTGGGGGCTGAGTAGAGAGATCGCCAAAGCATCAGGCATTTAGAGAGAGGCTGGGGAACTGAGCCACAGAGAGGATCCCCAGGGGTGGCCAAGAGGAAGAGGCCATGGCTGGGGGGCCCTGAGGGGTGAAGAATCTCACTCTGCTGTCCCCGGTGGGCTGGCTGCTCCCCCCCACCACTCCCCGCCGGGCCCCCGGGGGACCTCGCTCTAATAATGTATTTGATCGACTCGCCGGCCGCGTACAAGCGATTATTGTCTTGTCGGGAGTCAAACGTATCGATCCAGCGAGAAATATGAGCGGAGCAATGGGGCCCGCGTGTCAGTTACCAGCCCCGCTGGCCCTGGGGAGCCCCCTACGTCTCCTTTAATTACCGCTCAGCCCTGAGCCCAGCCTGGCCTCCCCTGTGCTGCCTCCCTCCTAGCTCCCTGCACCTCAAGTGGCCCCCACTGCTTCCCAGCTCCCATGCCCTACCTGCCTCGCTCAGCATGGCTTGAGGACTCTTCTGTGGCAACGAGGCCACCATCTCCCCCTGCCTGAGTCTCCCTGTTCCAGCTGCCAGGTTATACCCACCCAGTGTGTTCCAAACTCTGTCCCTCTATCCTCTCTCAGGCAGGCCCATCCTCCTTCAGGATGCCCTCACCAGGCCCAGCTCTGGTCTGAGGCACTGAGAATGGAGCCAGCATAGGAGGCGAGAGGTATGGGGTTGTTTCATCTTTCAGGGACCGTATACAGCCTTCCCCGGCTCCAGGACTGAACTGCAGACCTGGCCGTACTGGAAGTGGGTGGTCCTTCTCTGACGGCTCTAGGGGGCTGGAATGGGGTCACGTCCAAAACCGTGCTCCTGACATGGATGATGTTGAATCTGTCCAGGGTGGAGCATAGGGGTGGCTGGTGAGGTTTTGCCCGCCCCCCCCCACAATGTCCTATAGCCCCATTTCTAAGCCCCCCAAAACAAATCCTAACTGAAAACAAAGCTTACTGCGTAAATGTCGCTTTGAGACAAGGCTCCAGTACCCACCGCCATTAGGCTGCTGTCGGGAAGACCCTCATATATAGAAATCCTGTGGCCAGTTTCTGTGTGGTCTGTGGATCTCCTTTGTGAAATGGCCTTTACAATACGGGATGTTGTGGAGTGTAGCTGCCTGGAAACAGTCCCCTCTCGTGTGCATATATGAGAACTGCCAGTCCTTCCTGTTGTGCCCACCTGCCTGCCTGGGCGTGTCTGGGTGCACAGGGCACGTGTGCAGTCAGGAGAGGGCACTCCTGTAGTTCTGCCTGTAGTATGCCCTTTCCGAGTGTGCCTGTGTGTGAGTGGGTGCGAGTGGCCAGGATGCATGCCTGGGCATATATGTGTAGAAGTGCCCTTGTGCCCATGGGTCCATGTGAGGGAGTAGAGCGGGTATCAGTATATGGGAGTGACCATCGTCAGCAGGGAGGGCTGGTGTTAGGGCCTGTGCACATAGATGTGTTCATGCACGTCTGTGTGTGTACGTGTGTGTGTGTGAAGTGCTGTGCTCCATCTGTAGAAATATTTGTGTGTGGGTGGGTGAGTCTAGGCGTCTGTGCGTGCACCTGTGGTTTAGGGGCTCCCCCAGCCACGGGGCGCAGCATGTCTTGCGGAGCCCAGGCGGGCAGGTGGGGTGTCTGGAGACGCCAGGCAGCCCCACAGCCTCAGACCTCAGGACCAAGAGGAGGATGAGGGCAGCGGACTCGGGCGCGCCTTTGTCTGAGCTGCGGTGCGCTGGGAGTCCTGCGCCTTTGTGTGACCCTCGCAGGTGTGCGCGCGGGGGTGTTGGGGGGGTGTTGGGGAGGGGAGTGGAGGGAGGGGTTCCCTCCTCCGCAGCCGGCCCCGCCCTCCGGGCCATTGGCTGGGCGCTGCCGCCCTCTGGCGGGCTCGGAGGGAAGCGCTGACCTGGGAGCACCGCAGCGCGAAGAGCCAGCTGGCAGCCCGGGGACCTGGTGCTCCCCTCCACCGGAGCCGCCTCGGGAGCCCGCATTTGGCCGGCGATTTATTGTAGCTCCAGGCCAAGTCCCCTATCCACCGTTCCCACTACCACTGCCCACGGGCACCACTTCCTCCCAATGGTGACACCCAACAGCTCACCTGCAGATAGGCGCAGGGCTTGCTTGATCTTCCCTGCCGTGGCGTGTTTTTAAGCTTCAACGCTTCTTGGCTCTGGGCCCTTGGGAAAGCTACTGCTCACCTCTCTGATCCTCAGTCTTTTCATCTGTAAAATGGAGCAAATAACAGTGACCACCTCATTGGAGATAGCACCTGTCAAAAGTGAGGCACAGGGTCAGGCATCGGCAAAGCCCTGTCTCCAGTGAGCTGCTGGCTAGTGTTCTAATGTTGTTACTATTGTGGACCCACCTTCTCTCCCAGACCCATTCCCTGTCCCAGATTTGTTTGCCTCCATGGGGGCGATAGAAGCCGGGGGCAACAGTTTCAGGCACCTCCCGGATCGCAGCTGTAGGAGTCGGCTCTTCTAGCCTGCTTATCCTCTGCCCCACTAGCCCCCACCCCCCAACACACACACATGATTTGGGGTGGGCCAGGCTGCCGGGGCGGGTCTGTGGGCCAGGGTATTTTCCCTTCCGAAGGGGGCGGACCGGCCCTGTGGTTTCCTCCCTGAGTGACTTCCGGCAGGGAGGGCTCGGCCCCCAGAGAGGGTGGGGAGATGACACAGTTGTTCCCCCAGCCCTGGCGGGGCGGGCAGCATGGTTCACTCCAGCATGGGGGCTCCAGGTAAGGGGGCTGGTGCCTGCGCCACTGCTCAGAGGACAGGCAGCACATTTAGGTTTGCTCTGCGGGCCCTCCCTGCCCCTCCTCCTCAGCTGTCTCCATTGTCCTTCTCTGTACTCTAGCAACTCCCTCTCTCCCATGCCGGGTCTCCTCCAACCCCCACAGCTCCTCTTTGCCCTCCCGTTCCACATCAGGCACTGGAACTTCCAACCTCTTTTCTTCTCTGTTGCCCTGTTCGGAAGGGTCTGGGGACAGGAGGGAGGGAGCTGGGTGTTGGTAGCGGGCCCTCATGTGGAGAACCAGTGGGGTGGGTGACATGGGTGATCCTTGGATAAGGGCTGCAAAGGGATTGGAATGCCAAGTTGCTGGACTTGGGGGATGTCATTCCCTTTTGAGTGTGTGTGTGCACATCTGGTACGGGTGTGTGTGTGCATGTGTGTGTGCAGTAGTTCTGAGTGCTCTGAGTGGGACTGCTCTGTGCTTGTGAGTGTGGGGGGCTGTTGTGTGTGGCATTGTGGGGTGATGATCGCCTGGCTCACTTCTTCACCTCATTCACCTCAGACGTCACCTCCTCAGGGCAGCCTTCCCTGACCTCCCCATCTAAATTGGCACTGATCCTGTCACTCTCAGTTCCCTCACCCTGCTTTATCTTTTCTTCACAGCACTTATCACTGTTGGGAATTTCATTATGTGTTTGTTTGTGTGCTTATTAAATGCCTTCTCCACCAAATGTCAGTTGACTGAGTGAATATTGCGCGCCAGGCACGGTACAAGGTGGTGATGGCTGTTACTCAGCAGTGTTGATGGGAGTCTTAAATGAGATAATACATGTAGCATGCTTAGCACAGTGCCTGGAACATGGCAAGCACTCAGCCCTACATGCCTGTTTCATTTGTGGCTGTGTAGGCATGACCATGGGCGTGAGTCTTGGTTTGGTGGTATGTGCTGTCCTATATGTGCCATTGTGTGTGGGCATCCCCGTGTCCTCCACCAACATGTATCTATTGAGCAGTTCTGTCTTGGGTGTTGGAAATACAGTGGAAAGGGTAGCTCAGGTCTGTTCGCCTGGAGCTCCCAGTTTATTGGAGAAGACAGACCTGTCACCAATGACAACACAGACAGGTCAGGGCTGGGATGGGGGAGGTCCAGACAGAGGGGTCAGGGCTGGGGTGGGGGAGGCTCAGGCAGAAGGGTCAGGGCTGGGGTGGGGGGACAAAGAGGGGTTGGGGCTGGTTTGAGGGAGGCCCAGGCAGAGGGGTCGGTGCTGGGGTCGGGGAGGCCCAGGTAGAGGGGTCAGGACTGGGGTGGGGGAAGCTCAGGCAGAGGGATCAGGGCTGGGATGGGGGGATGTCAGTAGAGGGGTTGGGGCTGGTATGGGGGAGGCCCACACAGAGGGGTCAGGGCCAGGATAGGGGAACATAGGTAGAGGGATTGGGCCAGGACAGGGAGGTATTAGGGGATTGTAGGAGCCCTGAAAACATGTGATTTAGTTGGTGGAGTATCAAGGAGAGCTTCCTGGAGGAAGAGGGTGTCTGAGCAGGGATATGAAGGATGAGTGGGTATGAGCAAGCAAAGGCGGTGAGGAGGGGGGTGGGATGAAAAGAAGACTGTTTGCAGGGTGACATGTGTTTATTTGTTGAGGTGACTGTGTATGCAACTGTGTGTATGTATGTGTGTCCATACCGTGTAGACACAGAGATCCTGGGTGTCTGCTCCCACTGACTCATTCCTCTCTGGGGTTAAATGGGGACCTCAGAGGTGCTGAGCAGTAGGCTAAACTCTTTACTTGGGATTTCTCACAGAACAGCCCTGCCTGGGAAGACTGGGGTGGATTTTCCCTGCCTGGACATGAATTAATACACTGTGTGACTGTGGGCAGATCATTCACCCTGCCTGTTCTCAGACTCCACACCTGTGAACTGGGTTCAGAGGTCAGCCCTGGCCATCTTCCAGGATGAGGTGACTCTGGGTGTATGTGTGTGCACTTGTGTGTATGCGTGTGTGTGACTCTGTGTGAACATGTGCATGTCTGGGTGTGTACCTCTGGCTGGACTGGTGTGACTTGGTGTGAGAACGTGTGTAAGTACATGTGTGTAAGTACATGTGTGCGTACACATGTCTGAGTCTATGAGTGACTGGGTATAGTATGTAGGGGGGGTGTCTGTGTGTCTGTCTGTATTCGACTCTGGGTGTGTGAGTTTTGTGTACTTCTTGTGTGTGTCTGGCTGGCTGTGTGTCACTCAGTGTGACAGTGTGTGTAAGTGCATGTGTGTACACACATCTGGGTGTGTGTTTTGCATATATGCCCGTGGCATCATATATGGGCATGTGTCGTATCTGCAGACCTGTTCACATTCCTGTCTGGAATCTGTGCACATCAGTTTCTTGTAGTGTGTTGGCCAGGGCCTTGTCTGGCTGTGGCCATGGGGTGTGTACTGTTGGCAGCTCTTGCCTGTTGTCAGCGCAGCTGTGGGGCCACCTCTCTTGTTGTGTCTGCTGCCCGTATCTCCATCCCTCCCTCCTGACAGCTCAGAAATGTTCACTCCCTTGAGGCCACCCAGGGACAGCTGTGGGGTGGGGAGGGGTGAGGTGCTGCTTCTGGGGAGGACGGGGACTCGGCCAGCTGGGCCCACAGAGGTTCCCGGCAGCACCAACCTGCCCACAGGGGCTCCCAGGCCGTACCCTTAATTGAAGCAGGCTGCGGAGGCAGGGGACCCAGGGGACAGGACAAGTGGGGCCAGGAGGGGTGAGGGGCAGTCCTTGGGTCCTCTATATTTAGCCCCATTTTCGGTAAGTGCTAACGAGAAGCTGGTCTAAGTCTGCTAAAACTGGCGGGGGGAAATGCAGAGGAGAAGTGAAAGTCCGGGGAGGGAGGAGTGGGAGGGCGGAGAGGACCCAGAGTCCTAGGCCTGGGGCAGTCGGGCAAGCGAGTGTGAGCTCAGGGCTGGGCAGCCCTAGTTGTGGAGGGTGGGGGGCTCTGACCTGAGGAAGGTGGGATTCAAGGGGCAACATGGCTCCAAGGGACCTAGTAGGGCTATGCATTGCTTTTTCTCTTCCAGTTCCCTTAAAATATTACACATTACCTATGATGAGGGGTGGAAATGGCCATACATAACCAACCAATTTTTTATGTGTGAATGAGGCTTTGAGAGGAGCTTCTGAAGGTGCCAGGGGATGGAGCACATTAGAATCACCTGGAGGGGGCTTATGCCTGTAATCCCAGCAGTTTGGGAGGCCGAGGTGGGCGGATCACTTGAGGTCAGGAGTTTGAGACCAGCCTGCCCAACATGGCGAAACTCTGTCTCTACTAAAAATACAAAAATTAGCCAGGCATGGTGGTGCATGCCTGTAATTGCAGCTACTCAGGAGGCTGAGGCAAGAGAATCGCTTGAACCCAGGAGGCAGAGGTTGCAGTGAGCCGAGATCATACCGTTGCACTCCAGCCTGGGCAACAGTGAGACTCTATCTAAAAAAAGAATCACCTGGAGGGACTTTTAAATATCTGGATGCCCAAGTCACACCCTGTACCACTGAAATCAGAGAGTCTAGGGTGGGAACAGGCATCAATATTTCTGTAGAGTTGAGTGACAGGCAATGGGCTTCTCTGCCTGGGCTGAGGCTAAAGCTGAGCCATTTGACGGACCCTCCAAGTCCATGGTTGCTGGTGCCCTGGAGTCCCTGTTAAGGCATCATTTGGCTTTTAGTCCACGGTGGAAATGGAGCTCCCTGTTCATTTCTGGTGGAAATAATCTGACCCTTCTCTCAGATTGAGCTCTGATAGGGGAGGTGGAAAGAGAAAGGACAAAGGGTAGCAGTTGGTCATTTTGTTGTGGCCCAACCAAGTGTAGGGCAGGGGGTATGCAGGGATATGTAGGAGTGGTTGGAAGAATTTGGGGAGAATAAGGGTAACAGAATGGTGAAAAATTTTCCCTCAAACCATTCTTGTCTTTCCAGCCACTGTCCCTGCAGAGGAAACCTTACCTTAAAGATTTAAGTTAAGATTTCTTGGGGATGTTGGGTGACAGTAGCAATAGGGGTTTGTTTTAGACAGGATTGGGCCCTGGTCAGTTAGGGGATTCTTTAATTCATTCATTCATTCCAAAGACATACTCCTAGGCCTGTGCAGCAATGACTCCAGCCTGGGCTTCTATGGAGCCGACAGTTGGGGTGGAGGTCTCTGCCCGGGATGATCAGGATGTGATGGAGAACAGTACAGGGGCAGTGAAGCCCAGAGGAGACAGACACTGACCATCTGGGGAATCAGGGAGTACTTCACAGAGGAGGTGACATGTGAGCTGGACCTTCAAGAGGAGCAAGAGTTTGCCAGTAGAGAAGGAAAGGGTCAACCAAGTGGGAGAGGAGCAGAGGCAAAGGCCTGGGGGAGGGAGATCAGGACCTTGGGGCCACTGATCCACATGTCTTCTGCTGGGCAGTGTTTAAGAAGCTGAGATCAGACCTGCCCTTGAAAAATTCCCGGTCTGATAGGGGAGACATACTGGGGCCCGGCTAGCTACAGTCAGCATCTAAGACAGTGACAAGGGGAGGTGCTAGGGTAGGGGGAGCTGGAGAGAGACCTGGCTGGGAGCTGGAGGCATCAAGGTGGTTGTTTCATAGAAAACAGCTTATGGCCGGGCGCAGTGGCTCACGCCTGTAATCCCAGCACTTTGGGAGGCTGAGGCGGGCGGATCATGAGGTCAGGAGATTGAGAACATCCTGGCTAACACAGTGAAACCCCTTCTCTACTTCTCTAGCTGGTCGTGGTGGCACACACCTGTAATCCCAGCTACTTGGGAGGCTGAGGCAGGGAACTGCTTGAACCCGGGAGACCTCCGGAGCTTGCAGTGAGCCGAGATCGCACCACTGCACTTCAGCCTGGGCAGCACAGTGAGACTCTATCTCAAAAAAAAAAAAAAAAAAAGAAAAGAAAAAAAAGAAAGAAAAGAAAACAGAGCTTATGCTGGGTTCTGAAGGATGAGTTGGGGGTCACCATGTAGACAGATTGG